AAAAAAAAAGTTAAAGCGGTTGCGAGAGCCCGAGTCCGGCAGACAGGTGGGTAATGTGGCAATTGTGGTGTAGAGAGACAAGAAGTATCCAGGAACAGGAACAGAGGTAGAGTGTGACCTGGTTGTGACAACGCGCATCACAGAACTTTAAGAACCGGAAAGAGGCCTCTTAAGGGCCATGGGACCTTAGAAAATGGCGCATTATTAAACGGACGAAATACATTGTGACGCACTTTAAATTGGTCGGAATATTATGCACTTTAAAGTGCATTGACATGCATTAGTGGTCGAAGTATGCCACGCAAGGTGGTCGCTGTACCACGCACTTTAATTTCTCGCCGCCCACCGCCACCACTACTGTGCCGGCGGCAGCGGCCTCCCTCGCGTGACCACAGAGGCCTCGCTGTCCGCCTCGATACGGTCCGAGGCCACGAAGGGCTTAACGGGCGCGCGCCTTCTGTTCCATCGTCACGACTAGACAGTTATTGCCAGCCCTTTCGTTAAAAGAGACGAGGCCCGTGCAACAGAGGGAAGAGCCCCGAGTGAATAAGTCATTTCCGCGACTTTCAGCCGAACGCCGTAGAAACACTGGAAAAAAGTGTGCAACTGGCATGCACGTGGAAGTGTTCATGGTGCAAGACCACATGGGTGTTCGACTGGAAATCGGAATACTTTGAAGTGTTCAACAATGAATTTGAACCTTTTAACACGTTGAGTTTCGCGGTGAGGGAGGGGTAACCCGGCTTATTGTAGCAATTAGTGTGAAGTCACGAGGGACTCCGTGTGTTAGTGTCCAAAGCTTCATGACAAACCCTGAAGTTAAACACCAACACCAACTGCTCAACTATACTGTTTTAAAAGTGTCTAACATAGTGATGAGCACATGTACGTGCCCGCCAGCTGCACACCTTTTTCAATCAGTGAAGTCAACGTAGCTATAAATGTGTTTTTTTGTTTTTTTGTTTTGTTTCGAAAAGTCTTGTATTTTGGGGGCATTGTTTCGAACATTCGGCCCCTTTTGGCACTTGCTCGTGTCTCAGTGGGACTTATTACGTCTCCCGCAACACCTCCTTCGCCCCCCCCCCCCTTTTGCTCTCCTCTCTCTAAAATAAGGGTAACGAGGGCACACACATTTGCATGCATAGTGGCTTCAACTAGTCGCACCCGCTCATTAGGGACAAACTCATCTCACACTGCACCACCCCTCTTTCCTCACTCGACAGAGACAACCAAACATTCGTCATCCCAGATCCCATTTGTCGGCAGGAGCACAAATTTCTTTGTTATAAATGGGGAGTTTGAGTAACCCCTGAATATCTCATCTTTTTGCTACCGCTATACAATAGTGGTAGCGTCTTACAGAGTATCGCGAGTTTCAGGCGCCACGAGTGGTGACAGAAAATTACAGGGCACTTTTACTCTCTCTCTCTCTCTCTCTCTCTC